TAGATTTATGCCAAAGATTCATAAAACCAAACCTGTAACAAACTGCAGCACCATATTCACCGATATGTTGCTTCGATATCAATCAACCAATTACATATTTATCAACGATTTATAACTGAATACTGATCAAAATCAGTCACAAGTCGTCCTCACTGACGATACTTCTCTCTCACTGGCCGCCGCCCCTGTCCATCCAACAGCAATATCCGCCTATCCGCCTAACCCATCGTTCTTATCACCTGCCCAGATTCCGCTGCGGCAAACGGAATCAACTCGTCATCGCTGTGGTACACGACGTTACGCCGCCGGAACAATTGCGCAAAATGAATCGCCTTAATCAATTAAAACTCACAATCAGTAGCAAGTCACAGTTAAACCGCCAAAACTTTTGGCAAATCGACGACACCCCAAATACAACTTGGGTACGGACGACTCGTCAAAACTCTCAACCGGCGAATCGCCACAACCTCACGCTACCCCACCCGCCACAATCCCGTACCCTAATGGTACACCAATAGGAATAGGAATAGATTTCGCCTGAAAACGTTCCCGAAAATAACAGCACATACTCTAGTAGACAGTACAGCGCTACACCCTAGTAAAGATCTCAACAAATGACGAAAGTCTCAATAATAATCCCCAAAAACGAACTAACCGAAACCAAGGCCACCATGAGTCCCGCAGCGAATCCTACCATAACATCGGTTGGATGATGCATATTATCCGACACCCTCGAATATCCCACCAAAAGGGCGCCACCAATTAACATCGTTTGAAATAGAGGCAATAAGGAGATGCCGTAAATTCTTCTCGGTAAACGCGCTTGCAAATACATCTGCAAAATCAACTCCTTACAATCAAATACCCTCAAAAACTCACCCCTCCCTTAACTATCTCCCTTATTTCCCTCAAATTACAGCCCTACCACTCACTCCAACCTCCTTATCCCCCTTGCCACACCAAAAAAAACGATCGAACAAACAACAAAATACCCCTATAACACTTCAAAATCAACTAAAATGAAGACATACCACACAAAACACGGCCACATTCATCGCTGTCGATGCATGCCCACTATAAAACGACAACCTTGCATTGCGCACACGAGCTTCAGGACCTCCCAAACACACGTAATCTTCGATATAATCATGACTCGATGCACTACCACTGCCGCATAACACTGTCAAATTTACGTTCGGCTTACAGACATCCAAAAAATGCGGCCTCAAACGTCCTGTCGAGTATTTTGTTAGCTGTACTGGTATGACACCAATTAGCAAACCGAACGTGCAATGCGCTGAAAGTTCACTTACCTCAGTTACCTCAGGTATTTCCACAGCAATGAAGACTGCTTCCTCCCCCTCCCCCCCTTCAGCCAAAAAAATAAGAAAACGGGAGAGACTCTCCCAAAATAGACACAAAATTTACCCGCATACGAACAGAATCTCACGAATATCCGATGAAAATCTGCAGTATTCAGTCGATGCATGGTTATATTATCATTGTAAGAGAATTTCATAACACGATACGCTTCAACACTGCCAACCTTAACAACATAA